TGGACAACCTGGTCAAAACGGATGTTCCAAGACCTCGAAGCTTGCTTCAGCCCATAGATGGACCTCTTTAGCTTGCAGACCAGATGCTCTTGGCCCTTTGCAATGAATCCTTCTGGTTGCTGCATATAGATGTCCTCATCCAAATTCCCGTTAAGGAAGGCGGTCTTAACATCCATTTGCCAAATCTCATAATCCAAATGAGCGGCCACAGCCAAGAGAATCCTGATGGTTTTGAGCATGGCTACTGGCTACTGGCGAAAAGGTTTCCTCATAATCGATCCCTTCTTTCTGAGTGTACCCTTTCGCAACAAGCCTAACTTTGAAGGTCTCAACCTTCCCATCTGATCCTCTCTTTCTCTTATAGACCCACTTGCATCTAATGGCGCAAACGCCACTGGGTGGCTCTACAAGATCCTAGACCTGATTAGTGTCCATTGACTCTATTTCAGATTTCATCGCCTTTTGCCAAGACTATGCGTCCCGATCTTGGAGTGCCTCATTGTGTCCATGGGTCGGATTCAAGAACGTCCGGGACGGCCTCAGAAGACTCTCCCAGACCCATGAACAGTTCGGGTTGCCGGACAACCCTCTCACTACGACGAGGTACTACCTGCTCAGGTGCATCATCAGCGATACGTGTTGAAGTACTTTGTGGTGTAACATCTAGCGCACTCGGTATTGAAGTACTCACTCCCTTTAACTTCTCAAGAAAATGTCTACTACTGGGCTTATGATCTAAGACATAGTCTTCTTCCAAGAACCTAGCATTCGTGCTAACGATTACTTTCTGGTCCTCGGGACTATAAAATAGACCACCTTTCGTTTTCTTAGAATATCCCACAAACAGCCTTACTTCTAATCTCGGTTCCAACTTATCAGTTTTGGTTCTCCGCACATGTTCTGGACTACCCCAAATACTGAGATGTCTTAGACTCGGCTTATGCCCAGACCACAATTCCAATGGTGTAGACGGTACTGATTTAGAAGGTACTCTATTTAGAATGTATACCGC